GTCAGGCAAAAAACAGCCAGACTTCAGAGATGATTAGAGGAGAGTGCTGGGGCCTTTTGGGTAATAAGGTCTTGTAAGGCCAGCCTGACGTAGGTTACCATGTCAGTAACAGCATATAACAGCATATCATGGGGTGACCTCGGAAGCAGTATCAGAAATATGAAATTTAAAAAAAGCAAAACTAGAAGCAATGGATAGAAAGAAGGGGGAACAGCTGGAGGGGAGGGTACCACCTCAAAGCACCATGCCTCTCTAATCGCTTTCAACAGGTACCAGCCCATGTTCTCCTCAAGCTCTGAAGAGCTGGAAATGTGTTTCCCCATGTCTTGGATGTGGAAGCTCAGGCATTCCCTAGTAACAACCTGAATCCAGCCAGCCAGGACCAGAGCAAAACACAAAAATGCTGTGCAAGCTGCATTTACAACAAAGAATATCATGCCCACCTCTAGAAACATAGAGCCTGGAGCAGTTTACTTACTGGTTATATTCTCCTTCTTAAAATCTGTAAAAAGACAAGACAAGACATAAGGAGGGGTTGTCCAGGACGTGATATAACTAGATGCTTGCTTAGGAGCACACTATGGGAAAAAGTTCCCTCCCAGCAGTGCTTAAGCGGCTTGTTTCTCTGCAATGGCACCTGAATGGCAACTTTGCCATCATTAAGACTGATTTTGGCAAAAAGGTTGTTACGACCCTCTCGATAAAGAGCCAGGCTTTATTTGCTTGCAGGATTTTTCCCACACGCCAGTTGGCCAAGACAGGCAAAGAGCCAACGCGGCTGTCACAGTGCCGTGCACAGGCGCTGACAGGACAGTACCCACCGTCAGCCTTTACTTTAGTTGCAAATTATGGATCACATCCTTCCCCCTCCCTTACCAAGAATACAGCTCTCTGGACAACAGGCAGCTTGTGCCACCTTACCGAAGAAAGGGATGTGGATGCAGGCGCTGGGGTCCTGGTGCAGACTGGGCAGCCTGTTGCATTCGGGAAGAGTGAGTAGCATCAGCCCTGGCTTGTAAATCCCCTTCTGAGAGTTTTCCTCCATTGAGAGCCATTCCTTAAAGCAGTAGAGATCCTTTACAGCAAGGCAATTCTCTCTACATTATTTTGCAAAAAACAGTGAAATACAGCAGTCAATGGCTTGATAACAGTGGCTGCACTTAGCAGCGGTGTGCAGGGATTATGCAGACTGACAAAAGTCCATTAATGGGGCTATGCTTCTTTAAACCAGTCTGTCTGGCTCATAAACCATAAAGGAAACTCGCATAAAACGTAACAGCTTCCTTTAGGAAACCCACAACACTGCATTTTTAGTGAAGCAGGGTTATGCTCAAAACACAACACACATCACAGTCTGTGAGGAGTTTGTTCCTATCTTTTCCTACAGATTTATTACCATCTTCTACTAGTAAACATCATGTCTGGGAGTTATCTTAGCATTTTTCAGTAGATTCTAAAAATCTCACCTGCCTTCTGTAAATTATACATTAAGGTGTCATCTATTAAAGACAAGAGGTGAGCTGCAATTCTTAATCTTCTTAAAATAAATATTTGTCCATATTTTTAATCTCACTGAATCACCCATCCGATTTTCTTCTTTTCTCCACAGACACCTTTCGGTCCCTTTTTTATCTGTCATCTCTCTGCAGCAAAACCTTTACAGTGCCTGGTAAAACAAGAGACCGAACTGTTTCCTACCTAATGTATTACCTCCGTAACAATGTGAAACATTCACTGACAAGAAGTGCTTTGGATGTTTAAATGTTCCTTACATCAGAAACTGTTTGTGAAGAAGGCCAAGGCAGAAATATCTGCTCTAGCCAAAAAAAAAAAAAGAAAGAAACTGTACCATACTGGAAAGTTTGAGGGTTTGTTGCATTAGTCAATTTATCAGTGATTTGCTTATTTATGTACTCATTCTTGAGAGCCTGAATTGCAAAACCAGCTTTGAGGTCATGTGCAGAGATTACTTTTGCTGAGCTCAACTGAATGTGACCCACATCCTCCCCAACCACCACACCTGCTGGCAGGTGTGGTGTGGGAGAGGACACAGTGATGCAGAAAGGTACTGCTCAGGTCCATGGGTAAGGTTTTAGCCAAATTCATCACCTGATGGGCTGATACAGTTTCTTTACTTATAGTCTGCCAACAGTTTTGGCAAGAGCAGATGGCCATGAGTTTCAGTGATGAATACCAATGCTGCAAACCCGCTAAAGCACCTGAAGGACAGAGGCCATTGGGAATGCTACTAGGGCAGCATCTTTTCTGCAACAGCAATGGATGCCCTTCAAGTCTGCAGGCTGAAGCCATCGAAGCCCAGCTGCCCTGTGCTTGGTTTTAGCCAGTGCTGGTTTATTCCTTCCTCACTTCCATGAAAGCCAGAATGCAGCCAGATGGCGTAATTTATCTTTTTTATGTTAAACAACATGTGGAACAGGAATGACCTTCTGAAGTAAAGAAATGTTTAGCTAGGGAAATGAGAAAATCTTGCATTTGAAGTGCTGGCCGACACTTGGGAGATCTGGACTGCATTAGCTGCCTTCACTCCTGAAGCCTGAGCATCCTTAAACAAGCCCCTTATTCAGTGTGCAAATGCAAAATGCAAAAGGCCATTCCTCTGCAATCCTGTCCGCTCACCCACAAATCCGCCCTGGGAGCATGGTGAGGCAGTCAGAGGGAGGGATGGTCAGTCTCGAGCTCGGTTCATACCATTGTTATAACACTTAATCCTGAGCAGCGAGAGCTTGATGAGGTCATAAGCAAAGATTACTTCAGATTATTATTAGAAATTTTATGTCATGTAAATGACAGATGGACAAAGAACAGTAGCAGCAGAAGAGGACAAGCGGGCCAGTAACATTTTAGGACCACAAAGGACTGTTTAAGAGGAGGTGGAGACACACAGACCCAACCAAAGTGAGATGTTTCCCAACACAAGACTGTTCACTGCAGCCTGGTCACTTCATATCAGCAGTGGTTGAAACAGAAATTGAGGGTTTTTCTTTTGCTATCACAGAAGCAGCCAGTGGTAAAAGGCAGATGTAATCAAGAATTATGAGGTGAGACATCACTTTCCCTTAAAAACAGGAAAACTCTAATTTTAATCAAATTGCATCTTAATTAACATGAGGTGAAATTTTTCCCATATTGTTTTCTTCTGTTTCACTTCATCTTGTTTTACCCCCTGATTATTTTTATAAAAGCTTTACTCAGTCTGTTTGTCAGTTGTTATTCTTGCTAGCTAGCTTCCAAACCAAAATGAACATAAAAAATTACATGGGGAGAGAAAAAACAGTGCAGAGAATAAATAACAAGACAAAAGCACATGGAAATATGTCAAGGGAAATACGCCTGTCAAAAACTGGGAGAATTCTCCTGCCTCTGAGATAGTTAAATTCTTACTCATGAAGTATTTCAGCTGAAAATTGCTGTAGTCTAGCCAGTTTCTGCAGGGAGGTATAAAGTTGTCAGTAAAAAGCAGATAAGATAATTGGAAAGTAACCAAGACCATGTGAAATGTGTTCAAGGGCCCCCAGAGGTCTCAACTGTTCAGAAGTACATATTAGATGTCTGAGTTATCAAAAGGAGTATTGGGTTAGGGCTTTGGAGGAACTGTTGTCCAGCTGATGTGCTCTGGGAACAGGAAACAGGAAGGATGCTGTTCCAGGGCTCTTGTCAGGAAGAAAGCTGCATTTAAATCTGCATTAAAATCACGGGGGGAAATCATTAAAGGGAAAAAAACGTAACATTGACTCGTGGATTTGAAGAAAGATGATGCCAGGCAAGTCCATTAAGATTTAGATGTATTTGCAAATGCTGTGCCTGTTAGCTCGAGATCAAGTGCAGTTTTATGCTGATTTATATCACTCTGACTTCAGAAGTGCCCCAGAAGTGCAGGTCTTCAGTCGAATCACCACGAGTTCTGGTCCCTGCAGGACCACTTGTGAGCAGGGGTAAATGAAGTGGGACCCAGATCTCACTGAAATGCCTTGTGGAGCACTGTGCAAAATCCTTAGCTGACAAATGTGCTGTGCATGTGTGGCTTCAGGTACAAATACTGTTACACATCTTGAAAAAAGGCAGAGAGATCATGTAATAAAGGGCACAATGACAAAGAGCAGAACAACAAGGCGGCAGGGAGGAGTCTGCCAGCAAAAAGCAAGTTCCAGTACTTGGCTGCATGATTATCTGTGGATACTTGCACATACACTTCTTTGTAGGATATATGCCACTACCATGCTGGCAGAGGAATACCAAACAACATAAGCACCAGACAGAGAACACAATGTATTGTCAAGCTTTGTACTGGGATTTTCCTCTGTGCCTTTGTTTTAGAGATATTAAAGGAGGAGCAATCAGAAAGGTCCAGATTACAAAGTGCAGTTTTTGCAGACAACATGCTGCTGATTGTCCTAAAAAGCCCCTACATAACTGGAAAAATAATTGCCAGTAGACTACATCTGGCTCAAGTCCAGCTGGCAGAGTGCTTGCCATGTCTGCAGAGAAGATTTGTATTTTAGTTGAGACACTAGAGTTGGCGCTGCTCTCCCAATAAACACAAATCTGAATAATCTGTTTTAAGATGCGGTTCAAGGAGGACAAGAGCAAAGTACTGCACTTAGGCAGGGATGTCAGCTGCTCAAACAAGAAATGGAGAATGACTAGACAACAGTCCTTCAGGGGCTGAAAATGGACATGAGTCAGTTGTGGCCGACAGTTATGTTAGGAAAAAAGAAAACTTCACCTTGAGACATCTATGTGGGGCTGTCCTCTGCAAGGTACATCAAGCAATCACCGTTCTGTTATAGTTAACACTAACAAAACCGGGGCTGGAGGCTATATATATTTAGCACTTAAGTAGAGATGAGGAGCAGAAGCTTCAGAGGCTGGAAAAGCAAGAGCTATGACGAGAGCTTGGAAAAACCTCTTTTATTCTAGTCTGAGAAGTTGGGGAAGATGTAAAATCTCACTGCAAAGAGGAAGGGAAGAAGCTCATCTCCATGGCCATGGTGGAAGGACAAGGAGCAATGAGGGAAGGGCTGCTCAGGAGGTTGCACGGGGAGGGAGCAGTGTCTCCATTGCTGGGACATGTGGCACAAACACCTGTCAGCAGTGGATTAGCTGTAGGGGGAGATGCTTGGGAGTCCTTGGGGTGCCTGTCAGCCCTGTTTCAATGCACATTTCTCTGCATATGGAAAGATACAAGAGCCAGGTTGGAGGTTTGGTTTAGAAGGTACAATTACACTGGCAGTGTCTCTGGTGTAGTCTTTTTTTGTTTCATCTTCATTGTGGTGGGAAGTGCTGAATGATTAGTATATTGCCTTGGCCAGATTCGTTGCACGCACTGTGACCATATTTAGGCAAAATTCCAAACAAGTAATTACTTTTGGTAGTAATGAGTATAAACTGACCTAGTAAGATTTAACCGATAGCAATATGTTAATTATTTAAATCAATTATGTCATTGAAATGGATATTTCTTTTCAACACTGTCCGCTAAAAGCCTGATATAACACAGACATCTGGGCCTGAAAGTCAGACCATACCCCAGCAATGAGCATAGAGAGAGCTGGATCAGATTTTCTTTGTGCGTACAAAGGAAACAGCAAAGGGAAAACCTGTGCAAACCTAGAGGACCCATTTTCACTCAGTGTTACTGCAGGTCTGTACAGACCCTCACCACTCCCCTGCTGCCTATACATCCCCACGAAATGAAAGTGAAAGATGAGTATTTTTTTTCATTTACCTGCACACCGGTTTTGGAGCTGGCCCAGCTCCTGAGGGATTGCACTCCTGGAAGATGTAGTTACACAGCAGAGACTCAGCAGCCGGTTGGCAGAATGAACTCACCATTTTCAGTTCAGTCCAGGCAGTGTGCACAAGCAGCTCTTGGGTCTCCTCCGGGTCAGCATAGGAGGAGTTGTAGAAAACAAGAGCATTCTTCGCCAAGATAGCACTACACACCTCACCTCTGTACGTGCTGCAGTAGCCTGCATCACCCTTGTACAGCTTGCTGTCAAGGACAAGAGCATACACACACAGTAAGCTCACAGCCCTAAATACCAGCAGGAGCAGGATGCCTAGGCTCTGTTTCTGAATAAAGTGGCAACTGTAAGGCTAACAGAAGTCAAGGAGAAGGTAGATGGTTATACCCACTAAAACCAGCCAACTTCTGCAGGGAAGCCCGGTGTGAGCACAGGGTCCTCCTGGCGAGCTCCAGGGCTGAGGTTCTGGCTGAGGGTTGCTAGCATAATAAGTGGGCAAAAAGACTGAGCAATTGTGCACAACTGTGACCTAGCATGTCCCTTCACCCTGCCTCCAGGCCCTAATGGGAAAATGTTTTGTTTTCCTGCTTCCCTGCAGAAAAGATAAGCCATGCTGCTTGCTGCACACCTGTGATAACTCAGGATTTTTGCTCTCCTGACTAGCAACTGTTTAATTTTGGATGGACTCGGTGAGCGGGAGCCAGGTGAGTCCCACCCAACACATGCCAGGAAATTCTTTGCAAGATCAGACCAGCCAAGCTCCTGCCTGCCCCTCCTCAGCTCCTGCACCCCTCCTAACCCTGCCTCTCTTCCACACATGTTTAGGTGGGAGACACATGGAGGAGGAAGGCACAAGCCTCTGCAGTTTTCCTTCTGGTGCTTCCCTGCAAGGTCCATCCTCTCCTCTCTTTATCACATCTCCCACTTTGCAAACTCCTGCAGCAAAGCATGGGGCCAGAGCTATGCTGGAGCAATAAAAAGCACAGCAGGGCTGTTTGTTTATCATTGCCGCGTTTTTCACATCTAGCAGGAGATGGCTGTCATCCCTCCCTCCCTTATTCCCCACGGCCATCAAAAGCGAGCAGCAGGGCAAGGGCACACACAGGTCAGCTGTGCTCCCAGCAGCTCCCACGGCCGCCCCACACGGCAACAAGGTCTGCGGGTGAGGATGTGCCCTCCGCTCAGGCAGCCCATGGGATGCAGTGCCCTTGGTGGGGTGGGAAACCTGGGAAAACAGCCTCCCCTGTGTGTGGGGGACAGCCAAGTTGGGGAGGGAGGAGGGCTGGGCGCAGCTTTCCCCACTGCTCATTCAGCCAGTTTAGCCAGGGTCAGGGAGTTCAATTCACAACATGCCAACCATTTGGAGTAGCCAGCAGAGTTATTTGTATCTTTGCCTTTTATTTCTTTCTCCTGTCCAAATAATTGCCCATTGTCAAACTTGGGGGTTCTTGCTGTTTTTCTTTGGAAAGCTGGAGGTACATGGATAAGGGATTACGCAGGATGCCTGAATTTCAGCTCTTCAGATGCCACTCTCTGCAAATGACACTTTCTGGCCCTGGTTTAGCTGCACTACTTTGGGCGAGACCTGTGGGGAGACAGGGACCAGGCTGCGATGGAGAAGCAGCAACAACATGTTTCTCACGCCTTATCACAGAAAGGGAATTTTGTGCAGCAAATGTTGAGAACAACTTGCGGGACAGAAGGGCTGAGCATTTGATCACTGTTCCCATGCTTGTCACACCTACACAGGTGCAGGTGTAAGGCATAAGTCTGCCGTCATCATCGGGTGGTCACTATATCACTTACAAACTTCCTGAATCAGTCTTGCAAGCCCCTGTGAGGGAGCCAAGGACCTTTGCAGGGAGCCTGTGTCAGCAGAGTGGCAAAGCCATTTGCTCAGACTTTCTCAGGCTCTGCTCTTTGCTCTGAGAGCCAGTAGCTCCCAGCCCTCCTCCCAGGCTAACCCTCTCATTTTCCTTCCAGACTGATCTGCCAGTGCAGTATGTAGAAATATGATAGGACTCTAAAAAGCAAAAGCCAGCCAAATTGTTCAGAACTCAAAAAAATACTAAGCAAAAGTGCATGTCTGATCACATACAAGTGGTTTTACCCATCCATAACTCTGCTTGGCACAAATATCGAAACCTCTCTTGCCCTAATCCTGTGATCACCGAACCAAAGTATTGGCTGTGCACAGACAGGAGTTTAACTTGCAGTTAAGCTTTTGCCTGTAAATGTATAAGGTCAGTGAAGTTGTGGATGTGTAACTGTGAACAGAATTTACTCCAGAATATTCTGCCCACTACTGTATTTTAAACACCCTTACTGATGTGTGATCAGGATACAGAAGCATCCTTACCTACCTGGTCCCAGTCTCCAATTATGCCTGTATAAAAAAGATCAGTGTTCCCTTCAGGTGAACCTCATCTGCATGCTTGGCATCCAGAAACCTGCTCCCTTCATTTAAGCAAAATTAATCAAATCCCTTTGGTTCATCATTCTTCTCCTCCCTGGCCCAGAGAAAACCCTGAGGCACCCACACAAAGTCATTCTTACCTCCACTCTGCCAGGAGGCACCGGATACAGGAATTGTGATGAGCCAGGAGAAAGAAGAAATGGAAAAGACATCAGTGACACTTCATTGCCCCCTCTGAGATGTGGGAGTTAAGATTTCTATGCTATGAAATCTGTCTGAGACCTGTAAGCTGTCTGAAAAGGATGCAGCTAAATTCAGTCCTTATTTTGCACCTTCTTGTGTGGAAGAAGAGTTGGGCAACACTGGACACCGTACGGGGAGAGGGAGTGAGGAGGAGGAGGAAGTGGATCATTGACTGCAGTTCTTGTTGAGGTGGACTGTTGCACTCTAAACCCACACCTTTACCCTTATCCTTTGGGTCCTACATAACCAGCAGATAGCATCCTCTGTTTAAGCCACCTATGCACCTATTACTGCAGACAGCAGCTGTAACAGGTGGGAGAAACGGCCGTGCCCCCTCTTGCAGCACCACAGGGAGCTGGGATGCGCTAGCAGAGGGAGGAAGTGCTGAGCATCAGCCAAGGACAGGGACACCTCTGCCGTGGGACCCTCAGGAGCTAGAACAAGGCCAAGGCAGGCTCTGGCTCACATCTGGGGGGCTGCTCCTTTCTTGCTGAGCACAGGCAGCTTGGAGGAGGGCAGTGCAGCTTCTCCCACCAGCCTAAAGCACCTGCCCTCCCTCCTGCATTTGCAGATCTGCTTCATGGGGCAGAGCCTTGCCTGGGCTAAAAGCAGAAGTGGGGATGTGGAATATGGTACCAAGTGTTGAGTCTCTTATGGGGCAGAGCTTGCTGCTAAGTCTCAATGCCCAGTGTAAGAAAAGGCCTTGTTATTTTCTCAACAGAGTAGAAGCTGAGGGACAAAGAGAATGGCAGATGCATGCTGGGTTAACAGCAGGACCAGGGCTACCACCCCGTGTCTGGAGTCCCAGGTGATTCCTCTTTCCTTTGACTAAAACCCCCTGCCTGTCCCAAGAGGGAAGGCACAAGCTGCCACCTTTCTCTTGGTGTGATAATTGCTGTCAGCTATCTCAGACCATTGGTATTTCTCCTCTTTGGATCATCCTTTCCCCATTTGGGAGATGTCCTTGGGAGCAGAGGTTACCCCAGGCACGGCGGGGTACTGCTCCAACAGGAACCTCCCTGCTTTCTAGATGCAACTCCCTGAGAAGTTGAAGTGCTCACGAAAGCTATTTTCACCTTGCTGTTAGGTGATACCCGTGCTGGGTCACGGCCACGACTTCCTCCACATGGATGAACTTACCAAGAGTGCTTCTGGGACATAAAGTACAAGGTGGCATCAAACATTCAGGAAATGACAGCTGTGCCAGTCTCCAAAGTATAAGAATATATGAGGAAATAGCCTGGCAGGGGATGCATTTGTACTCAAATTTAGCCCTCGGCACACTATCAGCTCTCCAAGGCTTTCCCTCCTCCTCCAGAGTACTTCATGCCCCTTTCCTCTCCCCCAGCAGGGAAGCTAGGACTGCAATTGCAAGAGTGAAAAATTAACGACCCCTTCTTTCCCAGCATACCTGAAACACTGATGGTTGCTGCAGCTTTTGCAGCTCCGAAAGTTTTGCTGTGTTTGTTTGTGGCGAGGCAAGTGAACAGGCCAGGTCGGGTGACGTACACCTGCAGTCTGGAGTCAACCACTCTGTCCTTGACACTTTCCGCTATAGACCCTGCAGAAACCTAAGAGAGTGAAAAGCCCAGTGCAGTGGTGTTTCCAACAAAGGCAAACAAAAAAACCAAGGGAAAATCTAAGAATCTGAGCCCCAAACATTTAAATTGGCAGAGAAAGATGTAGCAAGCAGATAGAAGTGGCAGAGAGCTAAAGCTGCCAGTGTTCTTTTGGTGCTTTCATAGCAGCTGACTTCACAGACAAAAGCAAATGTTAAAGACCTCTCCTATTTCACACTTCAGCAATACTTTTGCAATTAATTTACAGTTCCAGAGGGCTGTAGTCTCAGTTTTGCTCATGTAATTGAGCTGGCTGATTACTCCAGGAACTCTTCTAGTAGATTGCCTATTCATGCCTTAGCAAGGAAGGGCACGAGGCTCCTTTGTAGACCCTGGTTATACAGAGGGAGAAATGAAAAGAGTTTGGAAGTTGTTGAGTCTGGATTAATGTAACCACTGCCACACTTCCAAAGCAGTCATGAGCAAAGCAAGCACTCTGGCTCCAACACTTTGGCAGATATCCAATAGATTTTCTTATCTCACACCAGGAAATATGGAAGGGGCTGCAGATGTGGTGATTTTGGCCAGCTCTTTTCCCAGGTCAGAAATTCCCAGGTAAATGAGCTTGGAGCCTGCTGATTTTGCCCAGTTGGGCTTGATTTTGTCCTCAAGTCTTTCCTGCTCATATGGCATTCCTTAAAGTAGGAGGTCATAGTACACCGAGACTCTACCCTGCAAAGGCAGTAGGAAGGAGCAGCGTTGCCTGCTCTATCCTTCATACTGATAGGAAGCATCAGTAAGATGCTTGCAATTCAAGCAAGATGTGGTTGCCTGTGGATCCCACTGGTGCGACCTGGCCCTAAGGACAGTGAGAGTTGTCTCCCTGGATCCATCCCAGCAAAGCACTCTACCTACACATCTATCTGAGAGGTTAGAGAGATCAATCTGACCTCCCTGGAAGTTAGTAGAAACATGATTTTAATGGGATCTGTGTCTGCTTCCAAAGGTATTAACAGTGATAATTGAAAAAGCAAGAAGGGATGTGTCAGTGTTGTATCACGTCTTCAGTAAGCAGATTGGTTTCTCTCTGAAAAGAAAATGCTGAAAATAATATATTTGTTTTGCGTCACTCAGGCTCAACTTGATGTCATGGTGAGGGAATGTGCATAGGAAGAAATCACTAAGTAACCAGACCAACATAGTTATTGTAAGTATTGCATCAGAGATGGGTGGTATGCCCGTCACTGTGCAAATGCAGGGACCAGGGATATCTTTTGACCTTATGCTGTGAAGAAAGTTCAGGTGGGTAGGAGCTCAGGGGATAATTTTTCACAAGTTTCTCTTTTGTTACAGTGCTGGTCAGATTTATTTTTAGAATTCTTTTCCTCCCCAGAAACCACTCAGCACGAAGACACTGCTGGGACCTCCGTGGTGGAAAGGAGGAATTTCTTTACAGGCTGCCCCTGCCTCCCAGCATCCACCCAGGAGAGGTTGCTGCTCATCCTGAGCTGTTTGTGCTGATCTGGTCCTCTCTCTCTCCTTACCCCTCAGGCCTCAGGCATACCCCCGTCCTGCTAGCTCCCCTCCCAGCAGCACTGGACTGTGCCTTGTGAGCACAGTGAGCCAGGATTGCTCCTCCCAGCTTGGACCGCAGAAGGAAAAGGGCGCTCGGGTAGCCACAAGTACGAGCAGTACGAGCAGTACGTGTGGTCACATGCACCGTGGAAAATCACAGGTGAAAGCATCAGGTAGTTGTGCCTAGGGCTTCCACACCAGCCAGCTGTTGTTTTCTCTACTGGGAACGTCAAGCCATTCCCTTCGTGTTAATTGATTCCCTTCCCTTTTCAAATACGTTCCCTGAGATTTTGTTTCCAGCAGGTCTTTTTTTAGCCTTTAAAATGCCACCTCAGCCACCACCAAAGCAAGGACCTCTTCACATCTTCATACCTGGCTCACTCATTCTCTGCAGTGTGGAAAACTACAGTTTAAGGTCTATGATGCCCCGTGGTGCATAGCAGGAGGAAAAGGAATTGTGTTTCTGTTTAGGCAGGCAAGGCAGCTGCTGCACAGAGGATTTTCCATCCTTCTCTTCAAAGGCAGCTCAATAACCTCAGCAGAGTCCCACTTTTTAAACCTCAGGACAATTACAGGTCGGTGTTGAGAGACCGTAACGCCACAGGCACATTGCATCTTCAAATGACTCACCATTGCTTGCTCGTGAGCCAGCCCTCAAATGCACATGCTCCAGTCCACCCGCTTCCTGGTCTGACTTTCCCAGAGACGGGCTTTCCTTAAGGTCTCCTTGCCATATTTAAAATGAGGCAGTCTGGTACACCACCCTCCTGGGACTGGGCTTTGCCTTGCAGACAGGAATGGGGCAGAGCAGACCTGACCAGCCAGGCAGTGGTCCCGGGCAGGGGCTAAGCATCGTCTCACACACAGCTCTCTGTGGGACCGACACACTGGTGGGAACTTGGCAGAGCATGGGTCTGTGCTCTGGAAATACTCTGCCCTTGCCAGGGACCCCAGGCCCCCCAAAAGGTTTCTTCCCCAGTGGGGAAGAAGTCTTGAGTGAACACCTGCAGTTGTCTCAAAATAATTATCGCCAGAAACTACCAAGGACCCACGGGGCTCTGCAGAGGCTGATCTGCTCCCTTTGCAGTTCTCCCTAATGACCTCAAAGGAATATAGAAAAGTAGCCCTAATCAGACTGGAGGACAGAATAAGGTTTAGAGGAGACAAGGAAGGCAAGGCAGCCTGCAGAGTAGCCTGGGCTCCTCAATAATATATTTTAATACATGGAAAGAGAGGACGCAGACCGGGGTGGAGATAGCCTCCTGAAGTAAGGAACTGGAGCAAGAGGATTTATTGGTCCTATTGCACAAGCAAGTCCACAGGAATGGCCATGGCCAGCCGGTGGCCAGAAGAACTTGGAGTTGACAGGGGGTCAGTGAGAAAGAGTGGAGGCAAATTGCCACCCTGCACACAGTGGCTATTCCACCTGCCTCCACAGCATCATGCCCTGGGGCTCACATCCTTAAAAAAGCTGTTGAAAGACCACAGGGAGTACAAAACGTGTCCACCATAACTGTGTGAAGACTGGAGGAAACTGATGGCAGGCTCAGGCTGCAGAGCTGCTGTGACTGTGGTGCACCCAGAGAGGCAATATCAGGCGTCAAGCGGCTCTTCAGTTCAGCTGAAGGAAAGGCATTGCAATAGCCTACACACAGACATGAAAGCCAGACTAATTCAAAGCAGGCACCTATTTTAAATGGTCAGGATAATCAGACCATGGAACAATTTCCTGTGAGAAGCAGTGGATTTGCATCTCTTGGTGCCTGCCGCTGAAGAGGGTGTGCCTTTCTTGAGGACATGCTTCTAGCCAGGAATAAATTGATGACATACTTCAGCGCGTCACTTAGGTCAGTCTAGAAAATTTCAGATCTATTCATCTGCAAATATGCTGTGCATATATGGTGTCCCACAGGTATTTTGCTTCAAGACAGTTTGCTCTAACTACCTCGGTTTGTGTTATTTTGTCAAATAAGCAATTTTGCCATGTTATTGTTACCACGTTAGGAGAAAGGAGAGGAAAGGTGGCTGCAGAAATACTTAAACCCACGATGAAGTCCTAGAAACCCTGGCTCAGAGGAAGGTTGTAAGCATCTAAAGTATCCTTCATCTTGGGCTTTCCAGACCCTAACAAATTAACCCACGCAACACCGTGGAGAAGGGGGAAAGTGTTTTGCAGAGGAGAAAACTGCAGCAAGGAGGCAAGGCGGGCTCAACATCATTGCACAGCGAGGCGCTAAGTAAGGCAGGAATAGAAACCACGGGCACTGGCTCCCAGCCCCACATTTTAATCCTTGGGCTATGCTTCCGGCTGCTAATAGCTCTCCGGGGCCAAAACCATGAAAAAAGAGACACTTACAGCTTTCCCATTTTCCAGCCAGGTGATGGTGGGGACTGGAAGGCCGGTTGCTGCACACCGCAATGTCACCACAGACCCAAAGGTGATATTTTGGGATTCAGGAGCCTTCAGGATTCTGGCAAAAACTGCAGGAGAAGACAAAAGTGCTAGTTGAATGGCAATGTAAAGCTGAGGCTGTGCTGCCATGAGGATGCTTCCTTCCTGACAGGTCTTGAAATAAGCCCCACAAACAAAAGTCAGAGCATAGCACGGGCTTCCCAGTGAACAACAGTCTTGGGAGAGGGATGAGGAGGAGAAAGGAAATGATCGGCGTGGTTAAGTTCTCGCCTTACAGGACGAAAATTTACCTCTGGAAAATTCTGCATCATCTGAGTTTGACACCTCAGGGGAGATAACGTGCAAAAAACCAAGGGGAAACTCATCGGTAGCGTGCAGATGGTACAGCTTACAGCAAATATTCGGCAAGTTACCATGCTGCCCTGCCAAGAGTGACCTCATGCGAAACTTGTTCAAAACCATCAAAGGAGACCATCAGTGTGGTCACATACTGTGAAGGTTAAGGGTCAGATAAGCTCCTCAGTGTGATCGCAGTGATTAGGACTTACCATGGAGAGCCGCAAACCCCAGCATTTTCCATGCCACGACAACCTGCTGTAAGGGGAGAGAGTCCAACATCGAGTTATGGGGGAATGGCTGGCAAAGACTTTGGGAAGCTGAGATTGCAGGGGGAAAGTAGGTTTTTAAAGTGGCTTTTCATCTCTACTGCTCTTGCTTCTTTTGTGGCAATATGGTTACTGGGCAGTTTGAAGATAAGCAAGATAAGCGCCTCCCTGCCCCAAGAATTTTTTTTTTGTGAAAGGAAGAATTGAAGTATTTTTGCTGAAAACTTATTTTGATCCAGAAACACAGCTCTGATGGCCTTCGCAAGCTGTATTTCAGCTGCTGTACTTGGACCACATAAAGGAAAGCAGAGAAGAGAGACATTTCCCATGCGGAACATTTGAGTTTTGACCCAAAATTTTTAATGGGGATGCCTGAAAGTCTGCACAGAAACAGGGTGAATAGTTCTGTGCTATTTCTTACTCCAATTTCTCATGCTTAGTGAGTAATGCTTGCTCTCTACCTTCTGGGCTGCACAGCAATGACTAAAATCTCCGTCAGAAATTTTAGTAAGCAAAGGAGTTTCTCTTTGAGTTCTTAGACAAACCTGATATCTTCTTTGTCACTTTTGCTGTCCGTATGTTTCCCCTTACCAACATATCAGATCATGTCATGGTCTTCTGTGTCTCTGTTTCCCGACGCACTTCTTAGCACTGGCCACTGGTTGCTCCCAGATGGAGACCTCCAATGCAGAGCAAGTAGGAGACCAATGAGGGTCTCTTCAGAAACTGAACATCTGTCCCCACCATTTGGGATGGGAAGGCTTCGTCTGCAAAATTTCGGTTGGAATAAAAAAAGTATATGCTTTCCATATCATACTTCCACCCAGTCTTGGCCTGGGAAAGGGCTGAGATTTGTGTTAACAAAGAGCCTAAAACCAGCTTTTGCTCGTAGACAGGCAACACTAGGTGTACATTTCAGCATAGAAACTTTTTTGTCTCAGGAGCACAGCCATTCGATAGGCTCCTGGGCAGGGATTTTTAGGAATATTAAATTTAATTTCAGTGAAGTGAAAAGGGTGGGAGGATACATATTATATTCAGCTTCTTAATTCCTCTACTGTCTCCGAGCAGTCCCTCACTGTCAATGCTTGGTGCCACTTGCTTAAAGTCAAAGCAAAGCAGCAACAGGGCTGCTGCATCCCCCCTGCCCCCTCAACAAGGCAGCAGGTATGAAGCTCCACCACTAATGAGGAAAGCTGCAGTCGCTGGCTGGGACTTTCCTGATGAATAATAAGCAAAATGAAACCTTTGCCTGAAGTTTCACTTCAGGCCATTAACACCAGATGGTTATGAATTCAGCCCCGAGTGCCCCGGGCCAAGCTCATAATTACTTTTATACTTCGTTCAGAGAAATACTAAACTTTTGAGCCTGTCCTCTGGCAGCAGTTACATGCACATGGCTCCCACTGAAGCTAGCGCGTTAGCTCCCAGAGCCAGAATACGGCCCTTAGTGCTTTTCTCATGCTGCTGTTGGTTTCTCAGTGTGCTGCTGGGACCCTGCCCTCTTGACAGCTCTGCTGTTCAGATCCTGCCCAGCTTAATTAATAACGAAGTGATGAATTAACAGCACCCCGTTAGCTGGTGCTAGACACAGGCATGCATGCCCTCCTCTGTACCAGCTTCTTTCCCAAAATCTGCGAGGAGCTGTCAGCCAGGAGAAAAAAAGGTGCACTTCCAAACCGGTGGCAGTTGCACGGGCGGGGAGCAAAGCCACAGCGAGCATGGTGGCTGGCCTGGCTGACACACAGCACCTGTGGGGAGGCCAGAAACCTTCATCCTGCTCCCTGGGGTCGCCCCACCAGCGCTGGTCACAGCACTTGCTTTAGAAGGCCAGCACACTGCTGGCATCAGCACTTGTCCGCCAGCATAGGGAAGGCAAAGGGTGAGGCCATTCAAGCCTAAAACACCAAATACAGGGGTAAAAAATCCAGCCACAGCTGCTAAGCATTCAGGTGTTTCTTGTGGAAAGTACTGCAGGTGTATTATATAGCACAGGGAGGGGTGGCTAAGTAAAAGTGGGCCTATAAGGAAATAAGCTGATTTCCAAAGTGTGGAAGAATGGTAGCTCTTGCTACCTGCAGTGCCACTGTGTGCATTTCCAGGAATTTCAAAATTGAAGTTACAGATTTAATACTTTAACATTTCAAGTACTTATATTTGCATGCTTTTTAAAAGTATTGTACTTGAAGTTTAGCTATTTAACTTAAGTACTTAGCTCTAGATACTGTGAATGGAATAACCTGGGGTTTTTTACATTATTTCATTTTTAAGTGAGAAATTCCCTGGGATAAGGGCTGGTCTCCCCAGGTACCAACGGGCTTTGGAGCGCCACTGACTGGCACACCCAGGGTCATATTTTCCAAAGGGCTCTTCATCACTTTGGGAAACAGCATTAAAAAAATAGCATCAGCTATTTCTCAGCCCCATCATCTATGGATGGATGATTGACACACTGCTGTTGCCAGCAGACTTGGGTGCTGCCAGAAAGCCGGGACGGGTTGTGTGAGAGCAGCCAGTGTCACCTCCCACCAGTGCAAAGTAGGGTAAGGATGAGCTCGAGGTCCATTTTGGTGACTGCATGAAGGAAATTTGTCCTGTAGCTAAATGGAAGAACCCAGCCCCTAAAGCTATGACCTTTTTTTCCCCCACCATATTACACAAAGAAAGAAAGAGGCAAAGGCGAGGAAGAAATGGTGACCCTGATGGTGCCAACCTAAGCAACTGGCAGAGAGAGGCAGATGAAAGGGAGGAAGAGGAAGGAACAGGAAATGTCAATAGATGTTTCTGAAATTAATGTTATTTGGTGGGCTCAGGACATGGTTTTGTTTTCATTTTTCCTCAGAGTGAAAATCCCCAACAATCAGGAGATTTTTAACACCTCCGTTACTTGCCCTCCTTTTCCAGGTCTTCCCAAAAGTGGATTTTGACAGGACCTATGCCTATTTAGCTACATCACCACAAGGTTAACAACATTCACATCAAGACCCCCCCAGGCTCTCAGCACGGGATTTATCCAAAGGCATGCCAAAAAGCAGTTAGGGAAGGCGGGTGAAGAGGGCTTCATTTATTTATTTATTTAAGTGCAAAATAAAACAGAGGAGCTGGAAATGAAATCCGGACAGCTAAAAGCCAAGCCAGCATGTTAAGTTTCACTCCCAATCCCCCTAATAAATGTCCTTTCTTTTACAGCCCTGCTAAATGATGTGCTGGGCACTGCAGGGCTTGCTAGGAGGTATCTGCATGCACTGCGGCCAGCTGCTCTTGTTTCTGAGAATTAAGTAACATCATCCAGTCCAAACAGTAGGGCTTTAATTCAGTCACGAAATTTTAATGCTATAAAAAGATTAAAGCAGGGTCCTCCCCCAGCCCCTGGTTTGAATGGCTAACTCTTTCCAGGAGACTTTGTTTTCCCGTTGCCTTTGACTGAGCTGTGTTTCATTTCCAGAGCTTGGGGCCCGATCCTGCAGTCCTGGCAGATGCCTGCCCCCCGACTGGGTAAGGACTGTTTTTTTGTTAAAGCAGGCTGAATTGGGCCACTTGCATCCAGGCAGCAGCCTGGGTGGCCTGGGGCCATGCTGCTGCTTTCGGGAAAGGACTAAGTGACACCCAGAGCTCATGGGAAACCCTTGTGTGCATAGCCCCACTGCAGAAGGCCGCCCCTTTTAGCCAGGGTTTCATAAGCCTTAAAGCTGGCTTTGACGCACCAGGCCCAGTCAAGCACTGGTTTTGGGGTGTGGGATGTTTTTTTTTCCAGAGCCTCCACTGGCTTTGGTGAACCTTGACTTTCAGAGAACGCAAGCAACATTTCCAATGTACATGAATTAACCCAGCCTGTCAACATCTGCGCATATACACATCCAAGAGTTTTTTGCTAGTCCCGGCATACTGTAAAGCATACCTGATAGTCCAAAACGAGATAAGGCCACTGAGAGCTAAACCTGTGTTAGCAACCACCGGCGACAGTGGGTACACAGTCCCTTCCCACCACAGTCTGAACCTGGTCTAACACGTAAGCCAGATCTGGCATGCCCATAGTGCCAGATCTGATATCTCAACCTGCTCCACTTTCCCTGATTGTTTTGCTTTTATCATGAAAAATGGCCTTTTGGGTGATTACGGCCAAGTCCTACACTGAAAATTTTTTCTAGCTAAGCTGCAAAATACAGTGGGTAAAGGCAACTCCTATGTGCAAAATGTCTTTTCTTCTGGTACAGCTGGTGCTGTGTTGAGAACAGATGTGTCTACATTGCTGGGAGAATTGGTAAGATATACATCGCCTTGGAAACTTCCCTGATATAAATACCCTGGCAAAGCTTTTGTGCTGCGTACTATTCATGTGTAAGCATTTAGGAGCTAAACTGCAAGCATTTTTTTGTTTGCATTCACCGATGTTCCCGTAGCTCTTTCATACCTGAAGTGTGACAGATTGAAATGACTCCTTCTCTACAGAGGAGTTCTCTGGG